GAAGGAGTGTTTTTTCCATGTGGAAGCAATATGTTGGAAGACTTTTAAACCTCTGCAAACCCAGAATAAGAAAAATGCCCATAAATTCTCTAGGTTACTTGTTTCCTCTCCTTTTAGTGTATTCATTGTTGACCTGTGCTGATTATCTGTTTTGTATTTAAATTTCATCTGCCTCCATTCTCTTTCCTTACTCCATTTCTCCATACTGCTGCCAGTTACCTTTCTAAAACATAAATTCTATCTTATCAGTTGCCAACCTAAGGATAAAGTCCAAATGCCTTAGTGCAGAATACAAGGGTTTCCAAGACCAGCCTCAGCTAATACTATGAGACATCTCCTATAATCCTGGTCTACTCACCATTCTCTAGAGAGGTCATGAATGTTCACAGAACTTTACCTTACTTAGCTGTTCCCTTCGCCTGCAGTACTCTTTATTCTCCCTTTTTTATTTATTTTCCTCTGGAGAATTACTCATTTTTCAAGGCATAGCACAATTATTTACTCTGAGAAGCTCTCTTCAAACATCCAGAGCCAGTCATGCTCGTCCCAGTCCCTCCATTGCTTTTTGCCTCTGTTACGGCCTTCACATTGAATAATAATGTGTTTTTGGAAATCTTTATCCCCCGAAATGTTGATGTTGGAGGCAAGAACTGTCACCCTTCTCCCCCAAACAGACACTCATTAGCAAGCAGCTTGAGGCCTCACCCGTACCAGATGCTTAATACATGTCATCGTATATGCAGTCATATTCCTTTTTCCATTGCAGTATTTAAAATACCTCTGTATGCATAGATTTAAAATTATATTTTGCATTGATTTTTGCTTACATGTATATGCTTATAGCTATATAACATTTTTATTTTCCTTTAACTTACATAAAATGTTATGTGCTGTTTGACAATTTAATTGTTAAACATTATATGTCTGAATATCGTAGGATTTTGACCTTTTTTTTCCTTTTATTGGATTATCTTTGCTTTTGACTTAGGTTGGAAACTTGGAAATTAGGTACATTTTGAGACTAAGAATTGTTTTATCTTTGGCTTTACTAAAGTTTGTTGTATACAGTAGGTGGTAAACATTTGTTTACACATCTTTATACTTCCCAGAGGGTCTCCCATATAGTAGGCGCTCATTAAATATTTGTAAAGATAAAAC